GCCCTGCTCCCAGATCTCCTCAGGGGTTTCTGTGGGTCTAGCCCTGCTCCCAGATCTGCTCGGGGATTTCTTTGGGTCTGGCCCTGCTTCCCAGGGGATTTCTTTGGGTCTAGCCCTGCTCCCAGGGGATTTCTTTGGGTCTGGCCCTGCTTCCCAGGGGATTTCTTTGGGTCTGGCCCTGCTTCCCAGGGGATTTCTGTGGGTCTGGCCCTGCTGCCAGATCTGCTCAGGGGTTTCTGTGGGTTTGGCCCTACTTCCCAGGGGATTTCTTTGGGTCTAGCCCTGCTTCCCAGGGATTTCTGTGGGTCTGGCCCTGCTCCCAGATCTGCTCGGGGGTTTCTGTGGGTCTAGCCCTGCTCCCAGATCTCCTCAGGGATTTCTGTGGGTCTGGCCCTGCTCCCAGATCTCCTCAGGGATTTCTGTGGGTCTAGCCCTGCTCCCAGATCTGCTCAGGGATTTCTGTGGGTCTAGCCCTGCTCCCAGATCTGCTCAGGGGTTTCTGTGGGTCTGGCCCTGCTCCCAGATCTGCTCGGGGGTTTTTCGGGGCCAGCCCCGCCGGGCGAGGTGGCGGCTCGGGGCGCCGTCCGACGTGCCCGCGTGTCCCGCAGAACTCGGTGACGCGCAGCGCGCCGGTGAACAGCGACAGCCAGGGCCGCTGCGGCGCGCGCTTCCTCACCACCTACGACAGGCGCTTCGTCATCAAGGCCGTGTCCAGCGAGGACGTGGCCGAGATGCACAACATCCTCAAGAAGTACCACCAGGTACGGCGCGTCCGCCCGCGGCGCCGGGGAGAACGGGGGAATGGTGCTCAGGGTGTGAGGGATGGAGATGTGGGATAGAAATCGGAGAGATGGAAATCTGGGGGATGGAAATCTGGGGCGGAAATCTGAGAGATGGAAATCTGGGATGAAAATCTGAGAGATGGAAATCTGGGGCAAAAATCTGTGAGGTGGAAATCTGAGGGACAGAAATCTGGGAGGAAAATCTGAGAGATGGGAATCGGAGAGATGAAAATCTGGGGGATGGAAATCTGGGGCGGAAATCTGAGAGATGGAAATCTGAGAGGTGGAAATCTGGGAGGAAAATCGGAGAGATGGAAATCTGGGGGACAGAAATCTGTGATGAAAATCTGAGAGATGGAAATCTGGGAGGAAAATCTGAGAGATGGGAATCGGACAGATGGAAATCTGGGGGACAGAAATCTGGGAGGAAAATCAGAGAGATGGGAATCAGAGAGATGGAAATCTGGGGGACAGAAATCTGGGAGGAAAATCGGAGATGGAAATCTGAGAGGTGGAAATCTGAGGGACAGAAATCTAGGGTGGAAATCTGAGGGACAGAAATCTGAGAGATGGAAATCTGAGGGATGGAAATCTGAGGGACAGAAATCTGGGAGGAAAATCAGAGAGATGGGAATCAGAGAGATGGAAATCTGGGGGACAGAAATCTGTGATGGAAATCTGAGAGACAGAAATCTGAGAGGTGGAAATCTGACAGACAGAAATCTGGGAGGAAAATCGGAGAGATGGGAATCGGAGAGATGGAAATCTGAGGGACACAAATCTGGGGCAAAAATCTGAGGGATGGAAATCTGAGGGACAGAAATCTGGGAGGAAAATTGGAGAGATGGAAATCTGAGAGATGGAAATCTGAGGGACAGAAATCTGAGGGATGGAAATCTGAGAGACAGAAATCTGGTCTGAAAATCTGAGGGATGGAAATCTGAGAGACAGAAATCTGATGGGCAAAAATCTGGGATGAAAATCTGAGGG